AAAAAAGTATAGGTAACTATTAAGGCCCCTATATTCGGGGCTAAGGTTTAGGGTTTAAGGTTGAGGGTTTTAGGGTTAGGGGTTTTCGGAATTTATGCTTGATTTTCGGGTGTACGGTCTCACCTTAACTTTTTTTGGCTCCAAACCCCAAAACCGAAACTCTAAACACCAGCTTGGAGACAGGTCAGGCAGTCGCAAAATGGGAGCTCCAGTAGACACCCTGAACTCTAAACCCTATCTCAGCCCCAACGGGTTTTGTTCGATTTGCACATGGGTGCTTATTTTAAGGGTCCTTGTTGGGTCCCCAAAGTAGTATGGCACCCTGAAAAAAGGACCCTGAAACTACCCGCATAGCCCGGTTTGATCATGAGAGGTGATCGAGAGCCTCGATGTCTTCGCGGGCACGGAGGAGAGCTTCAAGAAAGAGGCCCGGTGGAAGCTTGGTGCTCGTCTGTTCTTGGGTTTAGGGTTTAGGGTTTAGGGTTTAGGGTTTAGGAGTTTTCTTTTGGGACGCGGGGGGTGGGGGGCGGGGGGGGGGAAGTGTAGGGGACCGCACCGGAGAAGCTCTGCTTCAGGAAGCGCAGTCTGCCAGGCTACCACTCATCCCCCTAAGGTTCCTTATATGATTCAGGGTGCCTAGCTTATAGATTATATTCCTTAGGATTCAGGGTGCCTAACTTTTAGGAGTCTTTCAAGCAACGCTGAAGATCTGCAAGAGGATCCGAGACGCATTAAAAAAAGCTATCCCAGCCCTGATCCCTAAACCTAAACCGAGGCACTTCGGTGGCTACAAGCAGTAGATTTATCATGCATCGCGTGTTGGTTTAGGGTTTAGGGTTTAAGGTTTTTTTTTTTATGCATGGCACAGAACTTCCTTTGGAAAGGTTCAAGTTTCAGGGTTTTGGCGCTGAGGGTTTCGGATAGTCTTTGCGATGTCTCGGATTCGGAGTTAGATTTTAGGATAGGGTTTAGGGGTTTAGGGGTTTAGGGTTTAGGGATCAGGGGTTTAGGGGTTTAGGGGTTTAGGGGTTCGGGGTTCAGGGGTTTAGGGTTGAGGGGTTTAGGGTTGACGAGGGGTACTGAGGGCAGTGGTTGAACTAGTTGAGCTAAGCAGCGCAGGTCTTACGAGACTTCGAGACGTAAGTTAGAGCACGAGTAACAAGCGCAGCAAAACGACATATGCAGCAGCAATCAGGAATCACGGTAGCAGCGGCCGAGAAAGCCAGAGTGGCAGCAAAGGAATAGTTACGTAGAGAATGTTGCCAAGACGCAGAGCAGAACAAAAGCAGCATGTACATATTGACATAATTGTAACTGCAGAGCAGCAAATGAACTCCAATATGTCTGTGTACTCATATAGACATACCTATTTATCTGCCTAGGTGATGCTAGCCAAACAATGCTAGCGAATGGAACTTGTCCAAACCTAAACCCACAACCACTGAATACTGATAGGGTTTAGGGTTTAGGGTTCAGGGTTTAGGGTTTACGGTTTAGGGTTCAGGGTTCAGGGTTTAGGGTTTAAGGTTTCACACAACCCGAAAACCAAGGCCCTAAACGCAGAACTGAGTTCTACATGTGCATCCTCCGGCATTACGAGACCCAGCTCGAAGTAGAATGGCCGTGATACCGGTATTATGATTCAGGGCCGAAGCCCTAAACCCTAAACCGAAAGAATCGCGAGGAGAAGGCGTAATATAGGGGCCTAAATAATTACCAATACTATTTGGGGGGCTCCTAATTATAGCTATAGTCTTAATATATACCCCCAAACCAATAACGGCAAAGGGCTTTCGAGTTTCTGGGTTTGGGCTCGCAAGGCTTGGGATTTGCGATTGTAGAATCAGGGAGTTGGGTGTCTAGGTTCGAGTGGTTGGGGGTTTTGGGGTTTAGGGTTAAGGGTTGAGTGGGTGGTGATTGGTTTAGGGTTTAGGTGAGTGGGTTTGAGTGGTTGGGATTTAAAGTGCAAGCTAGGCTTTGAAGGCTGTCCGTTGGGAAAACGACTTTGCAACGGACAGGTCGGCTAAGGTCACGTCGAACGGGGGGTATGGGAACCCCACCCCACTATATTAGAGGATGCCTACAGGTGCGGGAGTTTAGGGTATATAGGGCTTCTATAAGGCTCCTATAACGGTAACTACCCTCCTGAAAATGTCCTAGACTATTAGGATCCTAAACAACGATCCCCAGGGTTTTGTTCTCAACCCTACTTGGAGGGTCGGGGGACTTAGTAAATGGTTATTTTATAGACTTATAAGTACTATAACCCCGATTAGGGTCCCTTTCAGGGTACTGAGAAGTCTACTTATTACCTACTTACTAAGTCTTCCGACCCTCCAAGCAAGCCCCTAACCCGGGAAGGGTGTCACAGTCTTTACACATCGAGGTGGCTGCTCATGGGAAGCGTTACGTCTGTTCCGTGGGCGAGATCGTGGCTGATGGTACAAGGCCTCAAAAGGGAGTTTCCGAAAATTAGGGGTACCTTATTTTGGGGTCCTTATAATAAGGATCCTATTATTTAGGTTCCCAAAATAGGGTCCTTTATTTTCGGAAACCTCCAAAAGGGCTGTCTGATCTAGAATCTAGACCTCGGGATAGTTTCTCCCCTTGTAGTCCTTCTATGTCCTAAACCCTAAACCCTAAACCCTAAACGCTAAACCCTAAACCCTAAACCCTAATGCTAGAATCCCAAAGGCCCTAGTCGTTTGATTCCCGGCCTCTATGTGTTTTGCTTGGAGCTTGGTCCCCATATTTGGGTTCTGCAGGGGTTTAGGGTTTGGGTTTAGGGTTTAGGGTTTAGGGTTTAGGGTTTAGGGTTTAGGGTTTAGGGTTTAGGGTTTAGGGTTTAGGGTACATTTAGATGTAAGGAGTAGGGTTCATTTGGGCGCACTTATCAGCCAAAAGCCGACTTGGGAAGTCGTCTGATCCTTCAGTGTGAGGGCGCTTCGGGTTCAGGGTTTAGGGTTTAGGGCCACGAAGTTCACGACGTTGAGCATCGTGTTGTCCAAAAAGGAATAAAGTTGACTTGATGACAGCATGTGACAGCCAGGGCCAACGATTCGTTGTACGTGCTGGAGCACGGCACTTGCTGCAGGGCACCTAGTTTGGGTGCTTTTGCGTTCAGGGCCTAGTAAAAACCCGCAAAAGCCCACACCAAGGCCCTTTGCCCAAATTTTCATGGTTTGTGAGTGCGGGATTCAAGTTCGGGCACGTGGCTTTGTTTGTCTTCGGCTGTTCGCCGAGTCGGTTTAGAGCTTTATATGAGGGTTGACGAGCGTACATTCTGGCTGTCGCAAAGGCTGGGTTTAGTGCAGTCTACCGCGATGCTGGCTCTACCGCCCCTTCTGCCGCTGCTGCTGATGATCGAGGTGGGGTTGATGCTAAACCCCAAACCCTAAACCCTAAAGCCTACACCCAAACGGCCCTAAGCCTTCCGTACGTTCGGAAGGCTCTGAAAGAGCCCTCAGAAGAAAAGAGCTGGGTTCTTGCTAGGGAGTTTTGTTTAAGTTACCATAATCTTATCATGAAAACCTACCAGTTTACCATAGGTCCCCATTATGGCAACTTAAGCTTAGGCTCCCATTATGGTAAGTTGACCCTAAACCCTAAACCCTAAACCCTAAACCCTAAAGCCTAAACCCTAAACCGTTCCCTAAGAAGAGCACAGAACTTTGCTTCGATGCCGAGGTGTCGAGGACTGCCACAGCCGCATTTTCGACGAGGCGCCTTCTCTCGGGTTGCCTCCAGAGGTTGGTAGTATAGGGGCCTCAATAATTACCTATATATATATATATATATTATTATTATTATTACTATTATTATTATTATTATATTTATCATTATTACTATTATTATTACTATTATATTTATCATTATTACTATTATTATTATTACTATAATAATAATAATTATTATTATAATTTTTTTTGGGGGGACTCCTTGTTATAATAACCCTATAAAAGTCCGTTTAGTCTAGGGGCCTCAATAATTACCCATATTATTTTGGGGGTTCCTTATTATAACTATAGTATAAAAGGACCCAAAACCCTACTCTAATTATTAA